CCAATGAGGATGCTGGACAAGATGGGTCACTGGCCTGATCCACCAGGCCTTTCTTATCTTCTTAAGGGAAAGTGCTTTCCCTTTCTGCAGGGCTAAACAGAAGCATTTTTGTGGCCACCACAAGTTTGGGTAAGCCGGGTGTTAGGTAAGCCACAAGCTCTTGAACCGGATGGCAGAAACCACAATGAAATAAGTAGTGTTAAACCCCACAGAAGACAGCGGGGAATATCATGAGGCCTTTCCTGGTTCTTAAGCACTGAACAATTAAAAAAATAATAATACAGTGGTACCTCGGGTTAGATACACTTCAGGTTACAGACTCTGCTAACCCAGAAATAGTGCTTCAGGTTAAGAACTTTGCTTCAGGATGAGAACAGAAATCGTGCTCCGGCGGCGCGGCAGCAGCAGGAGGCCCCATTAGCTAAAGTGGTGCTTCAGGTTAAGAACAGTTTCAGGTTAAGAACGGACCTCCGGAATGAATTAAGTACTTAACCTGAGGTAGTACTGTATATGAAACGGGGATGGGGGAGGAGGTATTTATTTGCGACTTGCCATCAAGCCCCACACTCCTGTTTTTTGTTCTGCTAACCTGGATAAACCAGTTTATGGAGGAAACAGGGAGCAGGTGGAAAACTCAGGAGCCTTGCCAATTCAGCATTCAAAAACAAAAGCATATACCATCTCAGGAGAGCTGAAAAGCTACAGCAGTTAAAAAAATAAAAATAATGAAGGACACCTACAATGTACAATGAGCCCCCGATCCATTCTGGAATATGGGGAAAGCATCAAAAATAAAAGGCCTTCTTTGAAGTTTCACACACAAACACAAGACTCGAAGGCAGCTAGGAGTTATCATTGCCTCTTTGGTACATACACATCTAAAGGAGACCTTGGGATCATCTCCAGAAGGTGCTGTCTAGAGAAGGAGGAATGGGGAGGAGGGGAGAATGAAGATAGAGACGATTTCCCCAACCCAAAAACCACCCAAAACAAAACCATCTGGAAGCTGGGGAAGATGTGTGAAGGAGAAGACTGAGCAAAAGGGTGGTCTCCGACACGTGGCTGCCCACCCAGGTTTGCAGACCAAAGGACCCCCAAAGTGTGGTGGTCTCAGTAAGGCGCCTTTTTCACTTCCAGAAACCAGAGGAGCAGGTTAGGGGGCTTGTGAAACCTTAGTGTGAGGACGGCCAAACCCTGGTTTTTCTGCCATTCTCTCTGCCCCCACCCAAGATGAATCCACCAATTTTGGATTGGCAGCAAGGAAGAAAGATAGAAATTGAAGCAGGCCCAGCACTGCAGCAGGCAAATGGGAATGCAAGTTGCTCTATCTCCCCCAACGTCAAACTGAGGAGCAATAGCCCAGTTGCGGACGGCACTTTGCGGCTAATGGGCCACTGCACAATAATCCCTGTCTGCCCCCAGCCAGTCCTCACTCTTGCCTACAACCAGCCCGGATGACGCCCTGCCTGTCAGCTTCCTCCTCCTTAGAATCACTGAATAGCAGAGCTATTGGACGGGGCCTCCAAAGGCATCTAGTCCAACCCCTGAATGCAGAAACAGCAGCTAAATAATCCCTGACAGACTGTCCGCCCAACCTATGCTTAAACACCTCCAGTGTCGTCCCTTGTAGAACCCAGCAGGGCCAAGGAGGAGGGCAAAGCTGGAGTTAGCTGGCTTTGCCTATCGTTGGCTTGGGCGCCCCCTACTGTAGGGCTCCCTGATTTTCGCCCTACCAGCCATCACTGCAACAACACACACACCCCTACTTAGCTGATCAATATGGATCCAAAGGCCTGGGGTGTGTGTGTTGCGTGTATGGCGACAGCAAAGACTTAGTGGTTCATCCTAAGGTGGTATTTTTCCACTGTCTCCAAAAAACGGGGAAACGGAACAAGCTTTTTTTAAAAAAAAGAAGGAGAGAGATACTCTTTGATAGAAAACCTGGAGAGTCAAGACTGACAATTAACCAAGTTGACAGCTCAGCAGGGCTTAATTAGTGCCTGGGCTTTAATTATTGTTTATTGCAATCGTTATCTCACGCCACCTCATTCTGGGCTGTTCTGTTCTGCAAACTGCCCTGTGATTGTTATTTTTTTAACGAAGAGAGAGGTACTTAAATGAAAAGTCATCATCACTACCATCACCTATCCACCAAGGGTCACAGATTGAGCCTCACTAGACCCCTGCGAGGTAGGCCAGGTTAGCAGACTGGCCAAATAAAGGTAGCCATGTTCGCTCATTACAGCAAATACACACAGATGAGTCTTGAGGCCCCTTGAGGCATCATGGGTGGGGAGACTAGAGCGCTCCAGGTTTTTGAGGGACTTGAATGTGACTGTTTGGCCACATTGCAAGTCCAGCAACATTTGGAGGGCCACAGGTTCCCTAACAAAGATTTCAAAGGCTTAAAGAGAGATTTAGCAATGCAATCTTACGCCTGCCTGTTTGGAAGTCCCATCGAGTTCAATGGGACTTACTCCCAGATAAGTGGCTATAGGAAGGCAGCGTTATTATAAGATCATGGAATCAGAGTTGGAAGGGACCCAAGGGTCATCGACTCCAGCCCCCTGCAATGCAGGAATCTCTCTCCTGTCCTGTAGCTTCCAGCAATGTGTCATCACACAGTGAGATTGCATGGACCACAGAATTCCTTTTCCAGAAATTGACTCTACCGCTTATGCCACAATTCATTTCTCTGACCCTTAAGGTGCCCCAAGGACAAACTCTCCCTTCCAAACCCTTTACTGGAGTCCCATCTCTAGCTCCACCTCGTCTTTTAACAACTGAGGGTGGTATCTGACGAGGAGTTTTGGAAAATAAAAGCTCAGCAAGCTGCTCAAGGCAGAGTCAGTTAATCGACTCACCTAGCTCAAGATTGTCTAATATTCCTAGAGATAGCTCAGTTGGTAGAGCATGAGACTCTTGACCTCAGTGTCCTGGGTTCGAATCCCACATTGGGCAAAAGATCCCTGCAGTGCAGGGGGCTGGACTAGATGATCCACCTGGTCCCTTCCAACTCTACAGTTTTATGATTCTACAGTGCCTGGCAGCAGCTCTGCAGGGTTTTTCAGGAGGTGCCACTAGGGATTGAACCTGCGTGTACAGCAGATGCTCTGCAGCTGAGCTGTGGTCTTTCGCTTAAAAGCAAAGCAAGATTCTAGTCCTCATTGTTCTGAATAAAAGGGCTGATTTAAAGAGTAGCACAGGAAGCTGCCTTGTGCTGACCGCTGTCCACACTGACCAGAAGGTTTCAGACAAGGGACATACTCAGCCCTACCTGGAGATGCCGGGGACTGAACCCAGGAACTTCTGCATGCAAGGCAGGTGCTCTACTACTGAACTAAAGCCCTTCCCTTCTTCAGGGCTGGAAGACAGGGACTCTAAGACTGCCCCCCCAAATAAAGATGTGCCATGCCCTTTTCTCTCTGTCCCTTCCCACACCTGAATGTGGAAAGCTGGGGGCCCCCAGAAGCTCTGTGGGCAGAGCATGAGACTCATAATGTCAGGGTTGTGGGTTCGAGACCCATTTGGGGCAAAAGAATTCCTGCCTTGCAGGGGGTTGGACTAGATGACCCTGGTGGTCCCTTCCAACTCTACCATTCTATAATACTACAAGGCTAAGTCCCATAACCCCTGCCATGCTGGCTACAGCTCAGTACACCTGCCATGCATGCAGAAGTTCCCAGGTTCAATCCGTGGCGTCTCCTGGTGGCGATGGGAACGTCCCCTGCCTGAAACCCCAGAAAGCAGCTGATAAATGTGTAGACAATTCTGAGCCAGATGGGCCCCTGTGGGCTCAGGATAAGTCAACTTGCTATGTTATTATTTAAACCTGACCTGGGCATAGAATCATGAGGACCGGAGCCTCGCTCTGTTTTTAAGGGAAGAGCCATAGCTCAGGGACGGAACCCCTGCTCTGCATGCAGAAATCCCCAATGGCACCTCCAGAAAGGGCTAGGAACGTCCCCTGCCTAAAACCCTACAGGGCTGCTGCCAGTCAGAGTAGGCTAAGGGAAGCCCACAGGGTGTCCCCTAGATGCTACTGCTGTCTCTGACCATTGGTCATGCTAGCCCGGCCTGATGGAGCTGCAGTGATCCTAACATCTGGAGGGCCACAGGTTTCCAGCCCTGGCTTAGAGAGAGACGCGATTCCGGAGCAAAGACTTGAGCTATGCCCTTGAATCTCTCGCATTAGGAAATTCATTCAGTAGCGACACCTTTTCTACTCTTCCTCCGACCCTCCAACGCTGGGACGCTGGGGGTTCAAGTCTGCTTAGGCGCACTGTCTAGATATATTATTTAGCTCCATCACCAAATCTTAGCCGAAAGCACCACTTTAGTTGGTGGCGACACTCCACACATGCTCAGAAGGCACTATTCTCTTCTTTCACATTTCCAAAACCCTGTGCTGCAAAACCTCATTTGTGTTTTTTACGGGGGGGGGGGGGTTGCATCTCCTCACCTCCAAAGACATAAGCCACACGTTACACAGAATGGACCTTTCAAAAGGTTGAAGAGCAGAGTCAAAAGCCGTCGGTCCGCAGTAGGACCCGCAGAGAGGTCGAGAGAAAGAAGACCCCCCCATTCATCTCCCCCTTTTGCTTGGGCAGCACGCGCCCCTCCGCCCGTCTCCTCCTCTTGTCTGGTGAAAACTCGCATTCCGCTCGCTGATGGGGGAGGTTGGGGGCGGCCCTCCGCACATGTTCAGAGGCACCCTTCCTCCGCTCGAAGCCCTGCGCTGCCAAACCCATCTGGTTCGGGGGTGTCAACCAGCTGTCACCCCTCACCGCCCCACAGACGTGACGCGACCCACACATGAGACACAATGGCCCTTTTGGAAGGGGGGTGCGCGGAGGAAAAGGACCCTTTGCACCGCCCAAAGCCACTGGCTCACAGAGAGGTGCTGATTCATTATTTCCCCCACCGATATCAAACCCCTCCAGCTGTTGCACGGATCTGGATCACGGATCTGGAGAAACAGAAAATGCAAAGGCGCTAACCTCTCTAGCTGGATCTCTCTCGATCTCCCTCTCTCTAACCCTTGAGATGCAGCCGCTCACCTGCTCCGGCTCCTTCCCAAGGAGGCGGCTCCCTTCCAGCCGATTCCCCTCCGGCTTCTGCTCGCTCGCAATTCCAGCGCGGAGCCCCGAAACAAAGTAATCCGGCCAGCCTCCAATCCGCAGCCCCGTAGCAAGCCCGGCGCCGCGCTGCGCGGACGCTGCTTCTTCCTCCTCCGCCTGCTCGCGGGTTGGCTTTGTGACAGGCGGCGCGATTGGCAGGCGGCCCGCTCGGCTCCTCATTGGCCCGTATAATTGGCTGGCCCGCCGCGCGCCTCGCCATTGGCCGGCGGAGCGAGCTTAATTCTCGATCGGCTGCCCGGCGTTCGGCAGGAGGGAAGGTTGCTGCTGCTGCCTGCCCGGGCTTGCAAGCTAGATGGGGTTGGATTATTCCCCCCCCCATTTTTTTTTATTGGTTTTCACAAAATTATAAACAAACAAACACATAAAACAAACAAACATAAATCATAACCTTATTAAAAATTACACTTATTAACATTAAGTGACTTCCTCGCTTCCCCTTGGTTGAATTTCAATGCATATCCTTTTAACGGTTTTTCCAAATCACAGTTCTTATAAAGTTTAACTCGAACATTAACATCCTTAGATCTTTTCATTTTGAAATTAAACATATTAATTCATCACTTAACTTATAAAAAATCCTAAACTGATTAACTATCTGCAACCTGTTTCCAATTAATAACTTGACATAGTTAACTAAATAATCATTAAATTTAGTCCATTTTTCCTGATACTCCTCCTCCTTCTGGTATCTGACTCTTCCGGTTAGGTTGGCTAGCTCTGAAAAATCCATCATCTGGGTTTGGATATTTATTATTATTATTATTATTATTATTATTAGGCTTTTATTTTGCTGCTCTGCAATGAAGGCTGAGCATTTCATCCCAGTGGTGCGCTGGTCAATTCTGCAGTGCATGCGCCGGTTATTAATTCCACTCGTTTTTAAGCAAAATGGTTGGAGGGCCATCTGTCATGAACGCTTTAGATGAGATTCCTGCATTGCAGGGGGTTGGACTAGATGACCCATGGGGTCCCTTCCAACTCTATAATTTCATGATTCTGTCTGTTGCGTTTATATCCCGCCTTATCCTTCAAGGAGCTCAAGGCAGCGTGCAAACTTCTCCCCACCTCCATTAGGATATCCTCACAAAAACCCTGCAAAGAAGGTCAGAATCTGCCAGTTCCGCTTTCTCTCCATTTCTCATTTCCCCAACCTGGAGTTTCCAAGGGACAGTTGCCTGCCTGGGCTTGGAAGCTGTGTATTTGCTCCTGCACAGTGAATCTGCAGGAATTGGCTGTGCATAATAATAATAATAATAATAATAATAATAATAATAATAATAATTTATTTGTACCCCGCCCATCTGGCTGGGTTTCCCCAGCCACTCTGGGTGGCTTCCACAAAGACCAAAAATACACTAATATCTTCATGAGACGTGTAGTGCACAGAGAAAACTTTGAAATGTATCCATGATTTATTATTATTATTATATTTGTTTATATCCCACCTTTTTCCAAAATAAGGATTCGAGGCAGCTTGGACGGCACGGATAAAATACAAAAAGCTAAAAACATATAAACAATAAACTCTGAAAAGTAATTAAACTCGGTAACAGAATTAAAACAAGGAAAACAATTAAACAATATAAAAAACAAATATATTTCTTTTTAAAAAAACCAACCTTCAATTCCCAAAGGCCTGTTAGAAATATGTCAAAAAAAATTTTGCATTTATATTGCACCTTTTTCTCCAAGGAGCTCAATGTTAGGTGCAAACTTCTTCCACCCAATGGCCTCTCCAGTATATCCTCACAATAACCTTGTGAGGAAGGTTAGGCAGAACTTTGATGGTTTCTCTTTCGATTTCTCATTTTTCCAACCTTTTCTCCACATTTCTACCTAAATTTGCAACCACAACAAAATAAAACTTCCCCCTCTTCCCCTCTGACGGGTCTCTGTGAAGAGGGCTGGATTGTTAAACCGCTCTAACAATTGTAGCTCTGGGAAGGAAATTGGAGTCTCTGAACACCTCTTGGCACCCTCAACAAGCTCCCAGGATCCTTTGGGGGAAGCCTTGCCTGTTCAAAGTGGTATCATAGCACTCTAAATGTATGGTGTGAATGTGGCCTTAGCAGAGGCTAGGCAGCTGTCCATCAGGGAAGGGGCTGTTGTATCCTCGCATTGCAGATTCTGCATTGACTTGAAGACCTCTACAGACCCCTTTGTAGTCTAAAAAGGTCTTATGATTCTAGATTCTGTGCTGCTTCATTCATTTACAGACTAGAGACAGGCCAATTCTATTTTATTTTATTGAAAGTGAAAACGGGGGTGGGTCTGCAATAATATTACTAGTCTCTTTTTTTGCCACGGGCAGCTCCAAACATCCCCACCCACTCTAAAAGGCCCCAGAGATTGTAAAAAGCCAAAGACCTGGTTAAAATGGAAAGTTATCGCCTGGCGCCTGACTCATTTGAACAACTTAGGATTTGGGGTGGGCTGCGCCCGTATTCCCCCCCCCCCCCGCCCCTGCTTCCCGTGCAACTCATGCTACCTGTAAAAATTAAAACAAGCAATTAACAGCACAAAAGGGCCTCTGCCAAACGAAACTGGAGTTTGCCAGGGAAAGTAATTAGGACTATCATGGCATAATTAAGACACAGCGAGCAACACTAGGGAGGGAACCTTGAAAACTCTCCCCATTCACTGTGTCTGGTTGCAGATTGTCTTTCTTGTGGTTTCCTCTCAGAGAGAAAGGAATTTTGCCCCGGGAGCCACAAATGTGATATCCCAGGCAGAGATTCTATGCACTCTTCGCAGGGAATATGCCAATCAGGACTGCACAGGAGCATAGCGACCAAAGCCCCTCAAATCCAAAGCCTCTTGGGGATTTGTTTGTTTATTGCATTCGTCTCCCAGCTGAAATATACTCGGAGTCGAGAGTGGATTTCATGCTGTTTATTCAGCTCATAGTGGTGAGGAGGAATGGAAGTTCCTCCAGAATGTCTGCTTTATAGACATAATTTACACAATGGGCCCCACGTGATTGGCTAATTCTGGGATTCACCTGTAGGCCAATCAGTTTGCAGATTCACTTCCACCTGGAGCTGGATTGGGTGGCTCCTGTAGACCAATCAGACTGCTGCATTCTGGACCCTATTGTTCTAGGACCAATCAGACAGCTGCATTCTGAATCCTATTGTTCTAGGACCAATCAGACTGCTGCATTTTGGATCCTATTCAACTGAGTACATAACACCAGCTTTTTTTTCTAAGGAGCTCAGGGTTGGGCACACGGTTCTCCCCCTAGGTTAGGCTGAGAGGCAGTGACTGGCCCCCAAGTGGGGATTTGAACCCTGGTCTCCCGGGTCCTACTCCAACACTCTAACCCCTACACCACACTGCCTCTCTCTTTCATGCCAGCATGTACAGCCCCTAGTACATAGCGAGGGGCAACTATTACCGTAGAAGATAGAATCAGGGTTCAACATGACCTTAACAGATTGGAGAAGCCAACAAAATGAAGCCCAAAAGGAACAGTGGAATTTGCTGCCAAGGAGTGTCGTGGAGTCTCCTTCTTTGGAGGTCTTTAAGCAGAGGCTTGACAGCCATATGTCAGGAGTGCTCTGATGGTGTTTCCTGCTTGGCAGGGGGTTGGACTCGATGGCCCTTGTGGTCTCTTCCAACTCTATGATTCTATGAACAAATGTAAGGTTCTGCACTTAGGTAGGAATAAACAGCTGCACAAATATGGGATGTGGGACACTTGTACATGGATCTAGAGGTCTTAGTAGACCATATCCTTAACATGAGTCAACAGTGTGATGCAGCAGCAAAAAAGGCTAATGCAGTTCTAGGCTCCATCAACTGAAGTACAGTGGTACCTCAGGTTAAGTACTTAATTCATTCCGGAGGTCCGTTCTTAACCTGAAACTGTTCTGAACCTGAAGCACCACTTTAGCTAATGGGGCTCCCGCTGCTGCTGCACGATTTCTGTTCTCATCCTGAAGCAAAGTTCTTAACCCGAGGTACTATTTCTGGGTTAGCGGAGTCTGTAACATGAAGCGTCTGTAACCTGAAGCGTATGTAACCCGAGGTACCACTCTATAGGGTCCCAATCAAGTGAAGTAATAGTACCGCTCTATTCTGACTTGGTCAGACCCCACCTGGAGTCCTGGGTCCAGTTCTGGGCACCACAGTTTAAGAAGGATATTAACAAGCTGGGATGTGTACAGAGGAAGGTGGCAAAGAAGGGTCTAGAAAACCATGCCTTATGAGGAACAGTTGAGGGAGCTGGGCATGTTTAGCCTGGGTAAGAAGAGACTGAGAGGAGATATGATAGCCATCTTCAAGTATCTAAGGGGCTGTCAAGATGGAGCAAGCTTGTTATCTCCTGCTCCAGAGCGTAGAATCTGAACCAGTGGTTTCCAGTTACAAGAAAAGAGATTCCGTCTAAACATAAGGAAGAACTTTCTGACAGTGAGTCTGTCCAAAAGTGGAGCAGATTCCCTCAGAAGGTGGTGGACTATCTTTCATTGAAGGTTTTAAGCAGAGGATGAATACCTATCTGTGATGGATGCTTGAGATTCCTTCATTGAATGGGGTTGCACTAGATGACCTTTGGAGTCCCTTCCAACTCTACAATTTGATGATTTTGCAATACATAACTGAAGCCACACAGAATATATATGCAAGTGTGCAGGAGACATTTTCAAAAAGCAGCAAAGGCGAGGAAGAGAAGAGAAGGGAGGAACTATTTTGGGATGGAAGCACCTTCAGCCTGGGCGGCAGGTTGCTCACCTGTGATACAGGCAATTATTTAGTATTTTTAGGGTTGCTCTTCCTTTGCAGTTGCCTGCCAAATGTGCCCGAGGCATAAACAGAGCTCAATCCAGCTGCCGCCGTCTTTTCTCAGACTGTTCATTCATATTTTCCGCACCCCTCCCTCTGCAGCCTTGTGACTCATTTGCAGGCTGCCTTTCACTTCTAGCTGACGAAATATGTGGAAAGTGACGAGGTTCCATCTGGAGAAGATGAATCAGGGAAAGCCTCTGGAAGAGCTTGAAAATGCAAACACAAAGCAGGAAAAGAGAGGGGGACGACTCGGGAAGAGCTTGAGAACAGTGGCAGCAGGGCCACTTGTTCACACATAGAGAACGCCCAGCGGCA